CGAGACCTAGCTCCCCCTGTTTTTATATTTCCAGAGGCAAAAACAATATTTTCAAAAACAAGCATTCACAAGGTGTACAAGCATTCAAAAGGTGAGGTTTATGCGAATCCCCGTAAAACTGATAGGTTATATTGCCTTAATTTTCCTCACCTTCATATTGTTCAAAATCATAATGTGCTTTTCGAAAACTAATGATTGTGAGAAGTTCGGCAGGATAGGAAGCAAAATGGGCGACAGTTTTCCGAATTATGATAGCAACTGGGGGTCAGACATTTGCACTAATTCGGTAGTCTGGAATCAACATTTCGTTTTGTTTGAGCCTACACATGACACGTTGATCCCCTTCTTGCTTGTTTATGAATGAGGAGGTGATCTTTGACGACTGTTGCCCATATTTGCACTTTCCATGCGGAGCAAGCTCCATAATTTGCACTTAAAGTGCATACAGTCTGGAAACTACCTACGAACGCCGTCAACTCTACGTCGCTGTTATGCAAACTATGTGGATCCTCCTTGAGTGCGTGCGCTCCCCAGTACTCTCTCGGCGTTTCTCTGCACATCCGCATTAGTTCATGTATCGCATTATATTTCGTCGCCGCATAATCTGGACTGCCCTCGTTGTCGCGAATCTGCTGTTAACACTGTAAGAGAACACATAGCACAACGGTAAAGCATATGGGGGAGGAGAGTACCCTCGTCGCATCGCTTTGGCAGTTACCAAAAGATATTATAGTAAGATTCAAACAGTGTACACATACTACTGGGACACCCTCTATAATAGAGAGATCACTCTAAGAGCGTTACTGTGATACGTAGCGCTCCTGTTTCGATGCGTCTACTCTTCTTATGCCAATATTCCTAGGGAAAATTTTCTAAAACAATATGCACGCTTGAGTATACTGTGAACAGTAGAGTGACTATCAATCATTCAAAAGTCAAATAATCGAAAACTTATTTCGAATTATAAGCGAGGTCGAATTTTCGAAAAATTAAGTATTCGAGAATTTCAAGCTCGAATACTATTCGAAAGGGGAGACGGCCCTTCTGAACCGCTAGCATTAGCAGCCTAATTGCTGCGCGCCTCTGATTGGTCGGCGCTGCCGCGGCGCCTGGGTAGGCGAGAGCTACGCTGTCGTTGGAGACGTCTGAATTGGACTGCAAAGGCATTATCATGTTCGAATATTCGACATTTGATTAATAATAACATCGAACGAATATTCGATGGTCATTGGGTATTCGAATATTCGATGACTATGAAATGATCGATATCAAGCTACAACCAGGATCAAGTGTGGGGTGCGGCAACCACACCTGGGGGGGGGGGTATATTGAGGGGTCGGAGAGGAGGGGGGAGGTCGTCACCGAGGTGAGCTGATGTTAGCGATAATATGATATTCGTTAACAATGTCAAATAGGCACTGTGTAAAGTACTAGTACTAGCATATCGATGTTTTGGCCTATCGTCGTATATGTACCTAAGCATAAAAGAGCACTATAAGCATAAGAGCTTCATCTTCATAAATAAAATGTCAAATAATCCCTGCGGGCCAAGTTTCAGCGATTTCTGAGGTTTCCAAATATTGGGCGATCCAAGTGAGATAGTCACTTCAAACATATCCTTTCAAAGGTGAGTTAACTACATCTTTTTGCAATTGATACAAAGAACTAATACTTTTTTGCTTACATTAGGAATCCTACGTCGAATAACATGCAAACTATGAGCAAGCCAAAATTTCATTTCTTCCATTTTTTACTTTCAGTATCTCTCAGGCAGGCGCTATACTTCTCGAGGAGTATAGCATGGCGACAAGGGATCGCCAGTCGCTACGACGGGCGATCGCCAGTCGCCAATACTGGCGACTGTGTCTTCTATGCATATCGATCGCTAACAAGTTACCACACGTCCAAAATATCGGCGACAAAAATCGCCAGTTTTACACGTATTTGATGCATATCAATCGTCGCCATGTTATACTCCTCGAGGAGTATAGCGCCTGCCTCAGACTAGAGAAGGCCGATCAGGCTCAAATCATTTTATTGTAAAAATGAGAGTTAGGCTATCGTGTATGCTCATTCTTGTCGCTTTACGTCGCGATTTACATAGTAGCGCAGACTAGCATGTTACCGTAACCCAATATTTTCGCAGTATTTTCCGTTTGCATAGGTAAGGAAAAACGATTATATCTTTCCCTAAAAGAAACGATTTCAAATGTTTTTCTACCATATAAAGAAGAAGGTGGAGCAATAGCAACGATATAAAAAACGCAGAGATTTGAATGATTTGAAGGTAAATCAATGGGGTGTGGCCGCCACAGCTTTTGAGGGGTTGTGCCACACCTCATTAACTATATCAAAAAATTTTTTTTAATGATCATCATTTATACGAATCGATAGCCTAGATCTCGCAGATTTTACAGAGTGATTTGAGCCTGATTTGTCCTCTTAGCTCGAGTGATATCTGGAGCGGTATGCAACAATCGCCCGTCCGGGTAGGTTACCCGGACAGGTAGTTTCCGCTTCATAGCTCGGTGCTATGGGGATCTGTGTTCTTCCTTGTTTGTTCATCTTTGGGAGGCTCTACTACCCTAATATTGTAGCACAATGATTAGCAGCACTTTGCTGTATAAGCTGAGATAATTCGTTATTTGTATGATTCCGAACGGGATCTCCCACTGATCACGCTCTTTTCAAAAGTTATTTATATCCGCAAAAACTCAAGGAAAACATCACAGAGTTTTGCTGTCCATTTATTACGACAGTCCTATGCATGTTTTTGAAAGAAATAAGTGAAAAATCAAGTTGACAAAATCTTCGCTGAACCTGTGCTCGCGAATTGGGCTTTATCGAAACACTCAAAACTTGAACATTTCATCTGTGCTACTAAAAACACGCGTAGCACTATTGTAATAGGTCGAAAGCAAAACTATGACGTTTTTAATGAGTTTTTGCGGGATATAAATAACTTTGAAAATGAGCGTGATCAGTGGGAGATCCCATTCGGGATTATACAAATAACGAATTATTTCAGCTTATACAGCAAAGTGCTGCTAGTCATTACGCTACAATATTAGGGTAGTAGACCCTCCAATAGATGAACAAACAAGGAAGAACACAGATTCCCAGAGCACCGAGCTATGGAGCGGAAACTATCTGTTTGGGTAACTTACCCGGACGGGCGATTGTTACATACCGTCCCTGGTGAAAGCACAGCCATCAAAAGCAAAAATTGGGAAAAACAAGATCTTGGTTGGCTTCTAATTCCACAATATGGAGGTCTTTTGAGGCGGGAGCTGTGAAGTGGACAACGAAGGAGTGGCTTTGTTTTGAGTGCAAAAAAGGTAACTAGTCACGTTTTAAACAAAGTTATTCATGTCCGAAAATGACCATTTCACTTAGGTGGCCTAGTTCTCGAACCTTCAAAACTCGCACAAAGTTTGTCTACAGGGGTTAATTGACTTGTTCATTATGGATATGTTGTCCGTTGTGTGACAGGGCCTTCAAGTAATGCTATCATAGGTATACAGTTCAGGGGGTCTTATTGAGACAGCAATCAGAGGGGGGATGTCGTAACCAGCGATCGTGTGCCACACCACTTGCTTGACCCTGGCTAAACTTTTAATGGGGAGTGTACATGCTTTGTATTTGGCGCGGCAGTTTGAAAAACAATTGTAAAGCGCCATTTTTCCCATGTCGCAGTATGTAACTGCCATCTATTTTTCGCTAGCCATGGACGCCAAGTTTTTGGCGACTTTCTTCAACAGGTTGTATCAAATTCTCTTTGAGCGTCATTGAGTGGACTTTTAGATTCTAGACTCTTGATGTCTTCAACAAACCTTTGAGCGCTTTTTGAAGAGCACCTGGCTCAAATTTTACGAAGTTGTTGTGTTGGCGTTTTCGTCCTGTTCTATAGTAAATATATAGCATGTAATTGTATTATATATATATATTGTAATCATACGTATATAATGCAAATATTAGGTTGGTGCAAAAATAATGAGCGTTTTCCTAGGATTTTTTACAGGACAACTTTTCTCCATCAAACGTCTTTCTTTTTAATGGTTTCAGCAAATTGTTAGAAAGCTCTTTTCATGCTCTATCTGACGATGTTCGAAAGGAACTTCTAGCCCACTCTGTTAAGAAATTATAGAGCTTCACATAATCGCACTCAAAATTAGATTTGGTTGCATTTATTTTTCTGGCCAGAATTTGAGCGCGAATGAGGGTGGTTTATCGGAAATTTAGCCGCTATATGTAATTGAAATTGTCTACATTATACATATTCAATCATATTTTTTCAAGTTACTTAAAGTGAGATATCGGCGGCTTAACATGGGTACTGGTTGTGATCATTTTAGAGCCCATAACTTTCTTTTGTAAAATGCAGTCGCTCAAACTTTGCTCATCTCCGTAAGCGTGAGGCTAGGAGTCCCATTAGCGGTGTTTGAGAAAACATCCAGCTTTTCAATACGCAGAAAATTAAAAAATTCTCTACTTCGGGGTTTTGAGGCCTACTGAAAAAATGCTAAAAAGTTGAAATTTTTGGATTTCAATTTTTCCATCTTCGCTAATCTTTTTTCTCCAAGCCGTTTCCATGTATATTTGTACTACTGGCTTGCGGCTACAAGATAGGCTGCTTATAAATCATAAGAACAAAGTGTGAAAGGAGTTATGTTCTGTCAAAAACAAGGCTTTAGAAAAAACTCTTTTTGTTTTCAATCCATATATTTCTGCCCATATGAGATATGAGTATAGTTCAATGTGCGCTGTACTGCGAAAGGTTCGCTGCATCTAGGGGTCTTTATGACATTTCAAAATGTAGATTTTGTAGAAAGCTATAGCAAGTTAAAGTGAAAAATGGGAAAACGCTCATTATTTTTGCACCAACCTAAATATATACTGTGTATATATAGAAGTAGAAATTCCAAATAGCATCGAAAATCTAGTCCTAAGATAACTGGGTTCTAACTGAACCCGGTTCTAGCTCAAAAGGTGAAACCTACTATCTCGTGCTTTCTTCAAGTCGGATGTCGGTACTTTGTAGCAGCACGAATTGTACGGATTCATCCTCTAGGAGTCTGAAGTACAGTCTATAGAAACCCGCTGCTGAATGAAGCCGAAGCGCACCTGCCAACTGCATCTGCTACATCTTCGGTAAGTTCGGCCGCGTCGCTGTTTTTCACTTCTTCGTAGTACTTAGTCACCTTTTCCGCTAGAACCTTGAACACTACTGTTCCAACAACAAATACGGTTTTCTAAATTTTGATGTGTCAAAGTAAACCTTTGAGTCGGAATTCTTGAAAGAAAGCGATAACGAAGAAAGTCCTCGTATGACTTCCGTCATTCCAGAAATTAGATTGAGGTAGATTATGTATTTGCGCTGCCTTTTCTCGTCATCAGTAAACCCTTTGTCATGTATGATCCTGAAGAAGAAACCTTGGACTGCTAGACAGAAATTGTTCTCGGTAAACAGTAACAGACCGTATCTGCTTCAAGGTTGTGCTCTTCCCGGAATCTCCTGGACCTAAAATTGATTTTCTACAAGAAATTAGAGAAAAATTTTCAAGATTACAGTCTGACAATGCAACGATAACTTTTCTCCACAGGCTTACCTAGTAGGAGTATTTTCAGAATTTTCTCTTTCCTCGCAATGTTTATAGCTTTCTGTATAGTGCGGTTCGTCTCTTCCTGGGCCTGCAAAAAGACGACGTTTTTGATATTGGAAAAGTATGGAGCCTGCAAAAAAACTCATTTGACGTAAGTATTGTTGCAAACCTTTAAAGTCTCAGCGACTGTAGATGTGGAAACTGAGCAAGCAGTGCCCATTCACAAGCATGGACTGGAAACAATGTCACGTTGATGCAGCATGGAAAATACAACAATTAGGTGTTACGTATTCACTCATGCAGGGAACTGACGAAAAGAAGAATATGGTGGATCCTCTAAACTTAGTTTCCAGCTTCACACTGACAAACTCGAAGTACTTGAATTTTGGAGTCTTACGCACGTTCATCAAGCAACCAAAAAAGCGTAGAAATCAATGTTTGGCCTCCAAAATTCAGCTAAAGCGGATCTATATTGTGTAGTATGTCTAGCAGATCTCAATCAATTTACATAATATATTATATTTTTGCAAAAGGGCCAACATTTTGAGCGTTGTTGAATGTTGGCCCTCACTCTTCCTGAAGGCGTGATTCACTGTTTTTACCTTGCCTAACATTCAGGCTTATCAGCGTTATCAAAGCATCGAAAAGGTTCATTAATAAGGACAAAACGTTCTACCGTTCGACAACAGCTTAGAATAAAGTGCTCAAACTTCGGTTAAATTAATCAGGTCTCGAGACATTAGAAACCTATTCCGCTCTGCGGAAAGCAATTGAATGACATTCTCTTTGATTAAAGAACCTCGAAGCCAGCTGAATAACTTTTCAAAGGCGCGCGCCACCCTTCGAAAATATGAGATTATGAGCCAAAAATATTGCTCGGCACAAGTGCCCTATAAGCAAGCTGAACATCATTTTTGGGGCAAAAAAGGGGATATCGTTTTTGTTGGTCTGAAATTAGGTTTTTTCAGTCGACGTTTCGTTTTTGATTCGAATCGGATATATCGGGTAAGGATCAAGGGAGACTTTGTAAACTTTCGAAAGTCAGGGGGAGTTCGTTTTTTGCACTTTCGCAAAGCCACCTCGTGCCAAGCACTAGTCAAATAACAATGCAACAATTGTTATCTCATTACATCGTAACTTTAATCACAGTCACCGGTTTAATGTCGCTACGACGCCAGGAAATCACCAAAGTGTGTCACGAATAAAGATTCTTTGAATCCCAACATTTCACCTCATTGAAGGTGCTCAGGATTTAAAGGACAATAATTATATTCGTCGTAAGACCATAGCAGTTATATTATTAGTTACATACTATTAGGTTGGCGCAAAATTAATGCGCCTTTTTGAGTCCTTTCTTCCGACAGCTTTTTCAAATTGTTCCAGTTCGAAACAAACTCGTCAAACCACCCAAAAGCTTTTTCCTTTGAGCGATTTAGCACCATTCTTTCTCACAATTCATATTGTTTTCGTACATTCTTGGTTCCGTTCCCGCTTTTGGTCTAGAAACTCCAAATTCCAGCGATGCACAAAGGAAGCGGTTTCAGTTTGAGATAGTTTCCACGTCATATACAAATCGGAAATCTCAAAGCCCGCTAGTTTGAAACTTTTCTCATCACAAGAGGAAGAGAGGTACAAGAGTGATACGAAAACGTGCAAAATCTATTTCACAATGAAAATCATCGAAATTCCACAACACACGATTATGCACCAACCTAATAAATCATGTAACCTTCAAGACACTAACGATTCTTGATAGAAGAATTTTCTGTTTTTTGAAAGGATTATCTTAGAAAAGCGAGCCTTACGGGAGCCTCTTGCAAAACAGATCAATCTTGCTTGGCTAAAAGTTTCGAATGTGTAGCTTATTACCAACGGTTCATTGGCCGACCAAAAATATGATTGTCCTTCTGAACGAAAATTTTGCATCTTTAACAGAGACAGATCTCGAGATCGAAGCATTTCCCGTCGTGCAAATGCAAACTTTGATGTGTTGCAGCTAACAGCTTGCCATATGCTACTACCCATTTTGTTGGTCATTGAGCAGCAATTATCTCTTTTTCCAATCTTCCTGATGAGCGGTTAGAGATGAGAAGATTAAGTCCGGAGAAAAAATTTCACACTTGAGAAAGTATGAGAAAATGGGAAAACTGATCAAAAATTCTGAACTTACCCAGTGGCACTCAAGATATGAAGTAAAGAAGAGTTATTTGCGATAAGCCAATGCAAAAAAACAGACTTACTTCCCAGCAATTAGTTCATTGTCATGGCTACGATATAATTGAGCCAGCTCTCATCTATAAAGGCTACAATGCTGCTTATGGAACGAAAAATACATCGGCGTGCTTGAAATTGAATTTTTTTCCGATCGAAACAAATCTCTCAACTTTGCTTAATTTGGCATACTAGTTTCAGCTATTAGGCCCCTCAGGACCCTAAGTCAGTTCCTTGTTGATTGTTACGCTTTTGATTATAGTGCAAGCATTAAAGAGCGTCGCAATTTGATTTCTGATTCTATTATAATTCTTGTAGATACCCTTGCATTATCCGCAAGTTAACAGTTCAACCACTGGGTTGAAGTATTTTTATCTTAACTGCAAAGTTGTAAATCATTTCATATAAAAGTCGAGAAATCTTTTGGTGGTCCCCTAAGCATGGAAATGTGTCCCCATGTGTAGTGCACGAAAGATACATACAGATATGCGTGAAAATGTGAAACGCAAGCCGACCTGTGAATTTCTCCTCGTAGCTGCAAAGAAACGAACGGTCAAGGAGAAGACTTAAACCAAGTGTACTATTTGATTACTCATTTATTAAATATTTAGACGTTGTACATTGTGCTCTGATTACTATGCCATTTCTCAGATAATCGCCGGGGGCAGGCGGTTATGCGATTCATGACCAGGCGGGCACCGAAAAAATAGTCCGCTAATTTCTGGCAGTCTTGCAGATATTTGGAATAATGTTAGCGAAATTTAAGACGAATTCTTGGAGTAATTGCAGTTTTTTCGCAGTTTAGTTACAACGCAGTGGCCGCATTCTCGCGGACTTTCCGCGAGAATATGCAAAATTACTGGAGGTGGCACGGCCCTTTGTGAGGGACCGCACAACTCGTAGGTATCTTCACCTGTGAGGTACCCTAAACTCGGGTAATCAAACCCTTGGTAACAGCTCTGTTATGTAGAGTGCTACCTTTGCTCAGCGCACTTCCGAAACTGCTTAACAAGAGTGAGAGCGCCCGCTGAAAATTGGCTTGCTGAAAATAATTACTTGACGACCGCCTGCAGAAAATTTTTTATTGCTGCCCGCTGGCAGAACACGGAAGTATTGCTCGCTGAAGGTTTGGCCACGCCCCAAAATTTTGCTGGCCGCTTGCAGAAAAGCGCGAGTTTGCCGACCGCCTGCCCCGGCATTATCTGAGTTGACGTGAAAGATAGATAAAAAGCAAGGGAAAAATAGTAGGGGAAAAGTATAAGTAGAAGTAGTAAACGTGAAAGAACGAGCAAAACACTTTATATAGGATTACGCTAAGGAGCTTCGCACGACAGTACCTGACAGCTGAAGACGGCCCAGCGCGAAAATATCCAGCAGCCACCTCGCGTTAATTGCCTTAACTGCGTTCGTACTGAGTTTCCGCACAGTTCCAGCTAAGCGCTCGATTCTCTCGGAGCTGTGCTGTACGCCCGCATAATTTTAAGCGGCGGAAAGCAATTTCTGATAACTTTTTATTGGTTTCTATTGCGAACTAGCTGGCTTACCCGGCTCCGCCCGGCTTGTCAAAACACTATAATATAGGTCCCATCCCTATCCATGTACAACCTTACCTTGTGTCCATTTCTACACTTCATTTCCCTATTCCGGTAGCAATCAGCATGCTCACTTACCCCCTGTGCCAACTCCCAGCTCCGTAGCTCGAACTTTGCAAAAAATCGATAAAATTGACAAAAGTATCGATTAATTTCGAAAACTAATAATGTATTCGTAATCACCATGCTGGATCCCCCTGTGCCAACTCCCAGCCCCGTGGGTCAAGTTTTACTAAAAATCGATAAAATGATATCGATCGATTCTATCGATTTTTATGAAAAGTAGCCTATGACACCCGCCCCGCCCCAAAGAGTATGTGTGCAAAGTTTTTTCCGAATCGATTCTGAAATAAGAATTTCTATTTGGAGCATACGTACAGACAGATACGCACACATACGAACAGTTCAGCTATATATAAGATTTTGCTCGTTTTCGTCTATCTCGCTACTCTTGTGATGAAAAAGTTCCAAACTTGGAGCAAGGTTCGAGAAACGCTTTTTATGTCTTGCGTTTGCAAACGTTTTCTCTCCCGCCTCCGTTCTTTCCATACATTTTTGCGTATGATGCCCTCTTTGTATTTCAAAACGTCACTGCTTCTATAGCGAAAAGGCCAAAAGGTTTCGCGCGTGAAGATGTTGTAACAGCGTTACGGTCCTGAAAAATGGCTTACACTCGCCAGCAATTATTTTTACTAAGCCAATGTTCCTTTTCACTCGCCTATCGTCACGCCGTATTTGAGTTTACTCTACCTGGACGTTGTATCTCAAATGCGTGAGTCTTGCGCTCAGTAGGGTTTGTACATGCTGCAGCACCTGCGCAAAAGCGCTACAAAAATAATTCCGAAAGTAAAAATAACAGCTGCAATCCCATTTTGAAAAGAATAGCAGTAGGAATACATAAGCTTTTACAAGCTACGCGCATATGCACTCTGGTCACTAACTTTGCGTCATAATGCACCAATGCGTCACCTCTGCTTCGCAAATGCTCCCATTTTTTCTTTCTGCATGTCTTCCTCTTACTTGTGCAATGAAAAATATCTCAAAGATCTGTGACAATGCTAACATCGTCGCGAACGCATAATGAAGGATCACTTACCGCGCGGTAGCAGTAAATCTTCTTTTTGGGATAAAATCGGCATTTCCGAAACTGAAGTTGCTAACTATCTTTGATTCTGTTTCCTCAGGCAAACGTATTTGAATAAAGTTTCTAGGAAGCACAACATTGTCATTTCCATTTTCGTTTATGACACTCAAGGCATTCCTGTGAAGAAAATTTAGTCTTACAATCGCCACGAAACTTTATTATTTGGTTAGAACCTAGCCTCTCAGAGAGAGTAAATGTGAAAATGCATGGATAGCTGCTACGCAACTGCAGATATTGAAAATACTGTTATTGACGGAAATGGTACTCCATGCC